CTATTTTTAATTTTAGCCCCCCCCCCCCCAGTGTTTTTGCCGTTATCTCCTGGTGGCAAATAAATAATTTGATTATTATTTTTAAAAAAATATCATTATTTGCGTTTTTGATAGACCTCCTCCGATTTACCAATATTTCCTAATTTCATTAAATTCATTAATACAAAGGAATTTATGAATCAGCAAGATAAAAAATTAAAAATCCATCTAAAAATTAAAAATACACTAACGAAGCACAAAAGAATGATATATACTTTATCGTTAGTAGCTTTCGATCGACTTTTAATCGTGAAGTTGGCAGAGGTTTTTATTTTTGCTTAGAACTTTTTTCTCCCTGGCTTAAATTTGGCTACAATACGGATTAAAGCACTAACAAGCATTAGCGAAGCACTAACATATGATTTATCGTTAGAGCTCTCAATCGTTAGGCCAACTTCACGGAGCTATACAACAAGTATATTATTATTATTATTTTTACTTTCACATTTTATTATATGAATATCGAACACACCACAATGATAGTAACATAGTGTAGTGGTTATCCTATATCCGGTTGCAAAGGAATTGCTAATATTTGTCAAAAAAATTTTATAATAATTATTTGGGTTTTTCTGAGAGCCCCTCCCCATTCAAATTTTTTGGGTAGTTCACTTTCAAAATCTTTAACTGGCATTCATGGGATTACATTAATTCCAAATTGATTTGGATGTAGCTTCCACTAATAAACCCAAATTAAGATATTTTTCGATTCCTCTGAAACTTAAGGGATATAAACATTAACAATTTTTAAAAAAAGAAAGAAAGAAAGAAAGAATTTTAAATGTTTTTTTTTTCAGCTGAACTGAAACTACTTGATTTCCTGGATGATTTATTCTGCAGCATTTTTTTTTACATAATAAATTAAACCCTTATCTAAACTTTTTGATGGAGTTTAAAAATATTTCCTTAAATTTGGGAAAAGAAAATTCCAAAATTCCACAAAATCATTTTTTTTCCCCGGGGAAATAAATCTATCTGCTCTCTTTTTCTCTCAAAGGTTCTCCTTCCAAAATCTATCTACAGTCGCCATTTTATATAATTTTATAATTGCTTAATAATAAATTAGGAGAAGATTTATATATTACCCCAATTTTGAAATATAAATTTTTAAACAAAAAAATTAAAATTAAATATAATTATAATTTTTTAATTTTTTTAAAATTGATTATATTTGAAATTATAAAGAGATTATAAGCGAATTTTATAGTTGAGTTTATCATGTATAAAATTTGAAAGTAGCAAGACACATCAGAATGTATTTTAAATGAATGAATCGTCTCATTAAGATGTCTATCATAATTTAACGTCAAAATCTATCACACTCAATTTTACCACAATTCTACCCCATTTTTTGTAATTTCACAAAATATTGTTGAATGAGTATTATAATGTTCTAAATGAATTTTATAAGTGCAAATAAAGGATTATTCTATATGATTTTTTTTACCATTTCTTAAGTGATATGGAAGAAACCCAGTAATGACCTATCAGGAAATCAAGAATTTTCCTTTTTTTAAATGATTTCCTAAAAAAATTATAAAAAACATTTAAAAAAAAACGATATCCCAAAATCTCACAAATTCTTATTTTTATAAAACAAAAAAAAAATCATGTTTTTTAAAATTTATTTTAAATCTAGCATTATTCATGGTTATTTTATGTATACCTTTTACCCGTGTAGTTTTGGCCTTATTTATAGAATGGTTTAAGAACAGCTGATCTTAATGATTTAGTTTTATAAGAGTCTTTGATCTATGGATTCCTGTATTTCCATTTCGATTAAATGCTAACCAGGAGGATCTTTAAGTTTCTAAAAAAATTCTTTTTCAATTCGCTATAATTCTTTCATCATTTTTCTGGAACATATCTTAAAGAGATTCGCTTAATAATCTAATGGTAACTAGTGAAGGTTAACAGTTCGGTCTTAGATCGGGACCGGACTACGAAGCGGTCTTCGTAGACCTCTTCGTAGTCGAGCTTGTCATTTAAATATTTTTCAATGACCCTTCATCTTCGACCCGTTTTTTCTTAATATATATGCTTGCCTCACCATTTCATATTGTTCTATTTTTATTTGTTAGTTCATTTTTATTTTGCTATATGATATGAAAAGGAAAGTTTGGCAAAAAAAAGCATCTTACATTTAAATTAAATATTTGTATCATTATTATATTGATTTCCACTAGGGAGTGATTCTGACCATTCAAGATGACTATCAGCTGATTTAAGGAGTTCAAAGGAAAAGATATAAGGAGTTCAAAGGAAAGCTAAAAAAATGAATTGACTTATTATATATTAATTTAGTTATTTCAATATTAAAGGTTTGAAAAATTTTTTTTAGTGAGCAAATGATTGTTAAGTAAATTAAGTGTTAAAATAAGAATTATCATTATAATAATAAAATCTTGTAATCATAATAAATATTATATTTGTTGAATGAAAAACTATGAATAACAATGTATAGTTGATGAATAGGTTAAAACAACCTCCACAAAAAAGGTTAAAATATCTCCTGCATATTTTTTCCATAAGAACGCCTTCTAGTGAAGTTTCGTATTTTGCTAAGCTGTGCCTAGAACACATTTTCGGCCATTTATGCAGAAAAATCAATTCTATATTGCTAAAAATATGGCGGCTAAGGAAACAGCTTTATAGGAAAATTAATTGTCTGGAAGTAGCTTCATAAAGAATACGCGGGAGACATTTTAGCTTTTTGATGGGCATGCAATTTTGGCCTATCATCTTCTAGACATTTATTACATTTTTGTTTTCGTGTCATACAAAGAATAACACAATAAATATAGTAATATTGATATACACAATAATTATTCATATAGATTTTAATAACATTTATCATACACAAAATGCAGGGATCAATAGTTCCATGTTACCCCCAAAAAATGAAAATCATGGCATATAACACCAATAAATCACTCCACCGTTTTTTCTTTAAAAACTTATAGATTATAATCATTAAAAAATAGAGCATTTTTTTTTATGTTTTACTTTTAACGTTCAAAGTATTATTTTAAAATTGTGATATACATTTATATAAATCTATGATATTCCTAATATAATAAAATGAATTTATTAATTAAAATAATTAATCTAATAAAAAACTCTTAATTTGTTTTTTATGAATCCTTTAACAACGGTCTCTCGTAATATCTCGTAGAAGTTTAGCGAATTCAAAAGCAATATACTTTGTTAATAAAAAACACTTATAAAATTTCTAAAGTGCCTTAATTTTAGTTACTTTTTAGATTTTACAAGTGTAATACTTTTATGTATTAGGGAATACTTTGATAATATAAATTGTGAAGTCAATAAATATTTCGACAAGCAATATATAAAATATTATGTAAATAATGAGGGATAATTTCTTTCTTAGAATTATATATTATTTATAGTTATGTTAGCCAAATTATAGTTAATATTCGAGTTGTGTAATTTTTGATAAAGGAAGTTCTTGTTTTTTCCTTCTTTCTTTCTTTCTTTCTTTCTTTCTTTCTTTCTTTCTTTCTTTCTTTCTTTCTTTCTTTCTTTCTTTCTTTCTTTCTTTCTTTCTTTCTTTCTTTCTTTCTTTCTTTCTTTCTTTCTTTCTTTCTTTCTTTCTTTCTTTCTTTCTTTCTTTCTTTCTTTCTTTCTTTCTTTCTTTCTTTCTTTCTTTCTTTCTTTCGTAAAACTTTCCGCCATTTGATATGATATGTTTAATCAGACTATCTACTTCCCACTAGCTCTGTATTTTCAACAGGCCGATGTATTGGTTATGGTTCTTGCCCAAAAATAGGTTTGGTATACTCCTATTTTCCTTTATGCTATTTTGCTGGATAGAGTATTTTAGGGGTCTTGCTGTAATATGACTTTCTAAGATTGCCAGAAATAATGAAAAATTTAAAGTTGACCCAATATTTGTTCAAAGTCTAAATATAATGAGACGCGTGTGCAAACTCTGAATTACGAATCTCAAACTGATGCGGCGATTGCGAAAATTAAATCTGTTTCCGAGTTTAGTAAAGGTTTAATCAAAGACTTAATACCCCTTGGGTCTCTTGATTCAGGCACCAAGGTTGTTTTGGTGGATACTCTCTACTTTAAAAGTAATTGGGGAATTCCTTTTCAACCAGAGTGAGTTTTTCTATACTCTGTGTTTCAAATGAACTGTTTTCCACTTTGTTTAAATAATAAATCTACCAATTCTAAAAATATAATTTCATAAAATTCTTATAGAGCAAATTTCATTTTAAAATCTAGAAATTGACTAAAATTTGCTAAAAATTGCAGGAAACTGATAATTTATTCATCTCTAATTCAACTTATCCTTTTTAAATATGAATATTTTTAATAACAATAATACTATCTACTATATATATGTGTGTGTGTTTAAAAATATACTAATTGCTTATATAGACTCACTTCTGTAAAGGCTTTCACGAGAGATGACGGAAAGCTCGAAGAGGTAAAGATGATGTTTGGTACTAATGAGGCTCAATATGGTGAAACACAACTAAAAAAAATTGAGGACAGACCAAGTTCCATCCCGGATCAAAAGATCAAAATTCTCAGAATTCAATATGCCAATCCCAATTTGGCCATGTTTTTTGTGCTTCTCGAACAAAAAGGATTGCCAAATTTGATCAAAGTGCTATCCTTTGAATCCTTGACTTCACTAATAAAAACGGCAAAGAAAACTTTGGTCGATATTACATTGCCAATATTTAAAACAAGCTTCGATGTCACTCTGTCAGATACTCTAAAAAATCTGGGTAGAAATATATTCAAGTAATATAAACATTTCAATTCTTTAACACTACTATATAATTATTTAATAGAAAAAAATATTTAAATGAAATAATTCATTATTGTTATTTCAAATTTATTTATTATATGATAATTAGAGAATCAGCTGATTTTTCCGGCTTAACAGGAACCTCTTCAGGATAATGCGTTAGCGAAATATATCACAAGGCGGTTATTGAAGTTAACGAAAAAGGGACCAAGGCAGCAGCTAGCACTGGTGTGGTTATAGGATTTAAATCATCATTACCTTTTCCTAGATTTACTGCCGATAGACCATTCCTCTATTTTGTACAAGATCTTGCAAGGGGGCATATCTTGTTTATCGGAACTTACATAAAATTTCAATGATTAGATGGATGAAATAGCTCGTCAAAAAAAATATCTATAAATTCATTTAAGCTTGATCTAACACCTCGCTTATTTTAAATATAAATATAAATTTACCCTTCGTCAAAAAATTAAGTAAAATTTCCTTTAAAATTCTGAGCAATATTCTCGTTGGTTTTCAACCTAAATTTATAAATTTATTAATTTATTTAAATTATTTTATTATATATTTTTTTTTTAAAAAAAAATTCGTCCAATGATATTCAGGCGATTCTGCTAATAATTTTTGCGTTTTTTTTTTGATAATTTGTAAGAAAAATAAGTCAATGTACCACTTTATATAAATGAAAATTTTTTGCAGAAATAACTCCCTCTTTATGATTCAAGAAATATCATCCTTTCTAGATTTAAAAGATGAGCGCTGTACTTGACAGGAATTTCTACGAATTTGCTGAAAGTCTGGATTTTCTAGATCCCTAATGTATATATTTAACCCACAAGCACAACATAATTCAATATAAATAATTAATTTGTACATTTTGTATAAAGACTTAATTATCAATAATATAGATTATTGATTTTTTTTTAAAACTAAAATTCTAAAATACATGGTTTAGTATTAGCCATATTTGGCTTCTGTAACTGACATTCTAAATTTAGGGTAAACTATGTTACAATTTTTTTATCGGGTTTAAATTGAAATATGCAAAACTCTTGAACTAATATTCAAAATTTGATATTTTGTCATTTATTATTCATACAAGAGAAGAGATGAGAAAGAGAAGAGAAGAGAGAGAAGGCGGAAAGAACTTACGATTGGTCATCCTTTAAATATTACTCTATTAATAGAAGTTAGATTCATTTTCTTATGGTATTATATAAATAACTTTTAAAAAAAAATATTAGACTAACGCCATCTGGCGGATGGAAATTTATCAAAATTTAAAACGTAATTTATAATTATTTTTTTAAACTTTATTATTTTAGAGGATTTAAACTATTTAGCACGAGATAAAAAAAAAGCAACATAACTATTAATTAATTTATTATTCCTTTATTATCGGGAACCCATACCTATATATAATTTTATCACTAATTACAGTAGAAAATTTGATACCATAAGAGTTATCTTGGGTCGTATTGTACGTTCACGTGTAGCTTCTATTATTTTCTAAAATAAAATATCTTATATTATAAGATTAAATTTTTTCTATGTTCATAATAAATTTCAGAATTACAATTACCTATTCATAATATATCTCAGAATTACAATTACTTATTCATATTCTTAGAGCCTAGTTTGAACTATTCACTTTGGTTTAGCGAATCAACTCTTTCTATCGCCTCATTTTCCCCTTGTCTAAAATATATCATCAACATTAATATTACTTCCTATTTTATCCTTAAAATCAATGCCTCTTCTCTTCTTTATTATCTAATAAATATTAAACAAATGAGTAAAAGATGTCTTCATTGAATATACTTCTTAGAGTTTTAATAACAAAGTAATTTCGTATACTGGTTTTGGATCTTAGAAATTTTCTTAGGAAGATGTATAGCAAATTAAATTTAAAAAAAATGAGTAATATAGTTGATTATTGAACATATGTTATATATAATAAGTAGATGGTACAGTTGAAAAATAACACATCTTATTAGACTTTTACGCCCATCTTCCCCTTTCATCTTCTCTGGAAGCCTTTAGGACCCTCAGAATCAATACTTTATAAAATATTAATTTTAAAAAAATGTGCATGTATAAATCTAAATAATATATTTCAAATAATTAAATTAAATAATTTAAAATTTTTTTAATTTAAATGTTTGATTCTGTTAACAAAAGGATATGCAACAAATGATACAATTTCCCGTCCAAATTGTTACATTGCTGGGTTTGAAAGAAAGAAAGAAAGAAAGAAAGAAAGAAAGAAAGAAAGAAAGAAAGAAAGAAAGAAAGAAAGAAAGAAAGAAAGAAAGAAAGAAAGAAAGAAAGAAAGAAAGAAAGAAAGAAAGAATGAAAGAAAGAAAGAAAGAAAGAAAGAATGAAAGAAAGAAAGAAAGAAAGAAAGAAAAAATATTTATTAATATTATATTTCTTTACAAATTTAGTACAATATTTTCCATATTCTTTTTGCCCTCAAGTTGCTGGAAATATTTATACTCAGGAATTTCTTAAAGTAATAAATGAATTTTTGTTTTAAAATTTTACTAAATTAGATGTCTAAGAATTAAATAATTTTTGTATAAAATACTAAAGAGACAAAGACTAGGAAAGAGAAACAAAATATAATAATGCAAATATCATCAATGTACCAATTCCTTCAACAAGAGATTAATCAAATACCCTTTTCTCTTATAGGCTAATTAAATTTTTTTTTTGAAAATAGAAGAATCTAAGGTACTTTTATCCTAGTTTCTCATGTCCAGGAATTTTTTGCCTTTTAAAAAAAAAATAGGTAAATTACATAATCTAATGTGTTTTCCAAATTATACAATCGGATACGTATAATATAATTAAATAAGAAATAAATTTTCTAATAACTTTTCCCTAATTATTCTTATTATCACAATTTTCTTGACAAAAAAAAACTCCAAATATTTACAGTTCTATTATAAGCTATAGACTTGGATGCTGATAAATTAACATTTAAAAAAAATGTATTTGTAATATCATTAATTACTACTACAAATTCATAATTTGATACCCATTTTTAGAATTTAAATTTATCATTTTTAAATTTCATAAGAACCATAAAGTAACTTCAAATGTAACTAGTTACTTTTGAAATATGACTATAACTAATAACTAGTTATGCTTCTTCAAAAGTATCTTTTAATAACACTAAAAGATATCTCATTTGGAGAAGAAGAAAAAATGCCGCATTGTTAAATTTTATGATTTAAAAAGAATATAATATTTAAAAAATAAATAATATTTTAAAAAATGTATGTATATTTAATATATTTTTCTAGGAGTAAAAAAAAACCAAAGGAAATATTATTATTTTAGGAAAATTAACTTTATTCTCTATTATAGTGCATATATAAATTTATATTTAAAAAGTAAAACTTTCTTGTTTGACAAAAGTAAGCGATGTTTTAAAATAGAGTCCAAATAAATTTAATAGATTAGTTTTTTGGCGAGCTATTTCATCCATCATTGACCCTTTATATAAGTTCCGATAAACAAGATATTTCCATTTGTAAGATCTTCTATAAAATAGAGGAAGGGTCTATTTGCCGTAAAACTTTTAGTGATAGGTAAAGATAACTTTACCATAACCACACCAGTGGCAGCTGCCGCCTCTGTCCCTTTTTCGTTAACTTCAATAACCGCCTTGTGTAATATTTCGCTAATGCACAATCCGGAAGATTTATCGGATTTTGTTAAGCCGGAAAAATCAGCTGATCCTCTAATTATCATATAACAAATAAATTGAAGAAGTAAATAATTTTTTTAAAATCATTATAGAAAACTGACATTTATCATCAATTAAATCTTATATTCTAATCAGTGACCTGCAAGCCCTGCCTATGTTAATTTTTTTAAATATGCCGGGCCGGTATCCGGGCATGGCTGGGCCCGAAAATATAAAACCCGGGCCGGGCCGGTCCGGTCCAAGCTGATATAATTTTTTTTAACGAATAAATACTTTTCGTTTAATTATTTCTATTATCTAATTATAAAGCAGTGTAAGAGATCGAAATGTTATATATATATATTTACTCGAATATATTTCTAAGACCCAGGTTCTTTAGGGTCTCAGGAAGACTGACATCGTAGCTCGTTTTAAATATTGGCAAAGTAATATCTACCAAGGTTTCCTTCGCCGTTTTTATTAGTGTAGCTAAGGTTTTAAAAGACAGCAGCACTTTGATCAAATTTGGCAATCCTTTCTGTTCGGGAAGCACAAAGAACATGGCCAAATTGGGATTGGCATATTGAATTCCGAGAATTTTGATCTTTTGATCCGGGATGGAACTTGGTTTGCTTCCAATTTTCTTTAGTTGCGTTTCACCATATTGAGCCTCATTAGCACCGAACATCATTTTTACCTCTTCGAGGTTTCCGTCATCTCTCGTGAAAGTCTTTACAGAAGTGAGTCTATATAAGAAAATTTAGTATATTTGTATATAGATATAAAACAATATTTATATGTAGATAGTAAATTCAGCCTATTTTTTTTAAAAAAAATGAATTATTTTATGAAAACAATATAAACACCAACATTAAATAATTATTAATATATTTAATTAATTTGATTTTCTCAATCATCATCAAAAATACGTTTGTAAAATTTAATATCAATAAAACTTTTAAGATTGAGATAGGAATATATTATCAATGTTTTCTTAAATTTAAATCTCAAATTTAATCAAGAGTTTCTTATAGTTATCTTCATATATAGATTCAACAAAATTTCAAACTTTTCCAAAATGTAAAATATTTGTTTTTATATATAGTTTCTCTAAATTTAAATTTTTACAATTTAAATTAAAATTGAAAATTTATATAAAGAAAAACTGTTTTTAATAAAAATGGCTTGAATTTAAATAAAATCTTAAGACAAGATATGAAAATTACAAATTAATAAGTGAAAGGTGTGAGATTTAGAATGAAATGTGATTCTGATTGACATTTCGATGAAACAAAATGATTACAGGTCGGAGCCGAAATGATTTTTTGAAGACAATTTTCTGACATAAACTGCTCTACTTGAATCGATTGAGTGGAAACATTGATGCTATCGGATGGAAAACTATATGGCGGTGGTAGACCCTCCACGCACATCAAGTATTATAAAAAATTATATTCTGTTGAAATACTCGTATTGAGATACTAAGAGACCAACCTGACACTCATGGAACGAGATTCGTCATGTATTCCCAAGAAACTTACATTTCTTCGCAAACTTCAGTGACATAGTTATCCAAGAAGAACTTCAGCTTGAAATGTTTAAACAAAGAAACAATTCCAGGACAACAGATGAGGATAAGATGGCTAACCTGTCACGTACCAAACAACCTTTTTATAAAATAGTCGAAATGATTCGCTTCATTTAATATGGTTCACTGATAAATTTACTACATTGGCAAATCTACAAAAGATAGGGATTGCATTTCAATAAAAGAATAACAAATATAAGCTAATCGATTGCTATTACAAAATTTGAGTCAAATTAGATTAAAATGTTTGCAAAGTTTAAAATACATGATTTTTTTTACAAGAAATTTGTTTGTCCAACTTTGAATATGCATAAATTTGGAATCTAAAAATTTACATAAAACTGTAAATTATCCCTCACAATATTTTAAAATATATTTGAAAATTAAAAAAAAAAATTCAATTGGAACATCATGTTTAGAAACTCAACTCACTTTGGTTTAAAAGGAATTCCCCAATTACTTTTAAAGTAGATAGTATCAACCAAGACAACTTTCGTGCCTGAATCAAGAGATCCAGGAGGTAATAAATTCTTGATTAAACTTGGAAACATCAGAATTGATTGTCACAACAGCTGCATCAGCTTGAGATTCGTAATTTAGAGTTCGCACACGCGTTTCATAGTATTTAGACACTTTTTGAACAAATATTGGATCAACTTTAAATTTTTCATCCGGATATATTCCGTTAGATATCTCTATGGTTACGTTTTCGTAGCTTTTGAGAGTTTGAGTAACTTTGTGGACAGCGGAATGTAGAATTTCCTGATTTTTAGCAGTTATTCCAGAGGATTCCTGAAGTATGTCTCCATAATGTAGAGTGTTATACAACTCAGTAAACGTTTGGCCTCCAACCACCAACATTAAAACTGTCAGTGCACGACCAATGTTAAAAGGTGAAAATATCACATTCTTTTGATTCGTTATAGGAATATCATTTTTGTGGCCAGCATTTTGGTCTTGAAGAGATTTTAGAAATTCAAAAGTAAATTTTTGGTTAAGCTCTCCTAGTTGTGTCGTTTCCAAAGTACTATCTACAGCGGAAAATTGAGGCGCAAAATAGGAACACCTCAAGGATAACTAAGAATGCTATTAACATGATTTCTCTAAAAAAAAGTTATTAAACTATTTGTGACTAAAATATATAATGAAATTTTTTCGTATTTTTTGTTTATCTCGGAACCTGGAAAATTTATTTGTGAAACGCGAAAAAGTTTTTTTTCTAAATAAAATGGAATTAACATTTTAATTAACAAAATTATGAACACGATTTTATTAAAAATGTGCTTGTTTCTTCGTTAATTTTATTAAAATTTATTATATGCTTGATGTCTCTCATAAATTACGATAGTATCTATATCTGACCTTCGTAGTTAAACATCTACAAACATGATTTTTTATATATTTATTAATTTTTAAGTTCCATCTCAGAAATTCGTTGCGCAGAAGTGTTACATAAATAATAATTTAGATTTCTTTTATATAATAAAAAAGCTTGTCACCAAGATTGTCATTTTCGTTACAAAATTTTTTGTTGTTCCATATTATTTCGTGACATATTTTGTGACGAGTGGTAACAAGTTGGGGTTTGGAGTCGAACTCACGTCTAAATGCCATAACTCGACATTTGTCACCAGCTTAGAGTAAATACCTTCATGTATTTTCTAAATTTTAATTGTTATTTTTTTTATTTAGTTTAACGTTATCTTTAATTGACACAAAGTATCGATATGGATATCAAATAAAATCGATTTTAACTGAAAGTATTTACTCTTAATCATAACCGGTTGAACTTGGTTTGGGGAAGGACCGTAGAAAGATAAAATCTAATAGGGTATCAAAATGTCTTTTGATTGTAATGATAATCATTTATAGCTTTGGAAATGGTGATAAATTGCCAAAAATTTATTAAAATATCAGCTGGGCTAAGCGATTTCCATAAGATTGAATATATTTTTCATGTGATTATAATACATGATGGCGCAGGCGCAAAATATTTGCATCTAAATCTGGGCTATTCTAGTTTGGCAAAATATTAACATTGGGTTGAGATCCTCCTTTTTTAATACATTAAGATGATAGGAAAAACTATCATATTTTGTAACGGAGATTATTTATAATAGATATCATATTTTTGTGACGGAGATTATTTGTAATAGATATCATATTTTTGTAACGGAGATTATTCATAATAAATATCATATTTTTGTAATTGGAAATTATAAATAATTCCGATTAATAGATTCGCTAAATTTAGTTATAATTTTAGCAAAGTATCTTGGAACATATACAATTTGGTAATATTAATTAATAAATTTGTAACTTATTTGATCGGGCTCTGAGAAGGTATATAATTACAAAATGTGATTTTATAGAAAAAATGATATATTTCTCCACACTTCTTAATTATTTTTGAAAACTTTTCTTATTTTTTTTTTGTTTTAAAATTCATATTTAAATTTTTTTAAAAAAAAATTAGCTACTCTTCCAAATACTTTTCACACCACACATTATTCCATTACCTAGTGTTGTTAATTGGTTGGTTTTGTAAAACCCAGACCCGGTGTTTGGGTCTAAAAATTGACTAAAGCAGCTCTGAGCACGAACCTCAAGCACAGACCCAGGATTCCCAGAGTCCAGACCCGGGGTTCAGACTCGGGATCGAGATCCGGTTTAAACCCGGAGTCAAGACCCGGGGTTCAGACGAATAATGTTATTCCAAATAGTTCAATCAAAAAAATAAAAACATGGCATTTTCTATGGTTAGATTAGTAAAATCCTGCAAGCAACTCAGCTTAGGGTTAGAATTTTTTAATCGAGACCACTTACTCTTTAGGGCTTAGAAATACCAAAAAAAAATTAGATTGAAATAAATTATTATGTTGGTAGGCCGATTTACAAATGTGTGTATATTTTTAGATAAAACTTAATTTGAGGCCTTATTAGGAAGAGAGAGAAAAATTAATTCTCTGTACGTTAAGAAATTTAAAAAAATCGTTCGTTTGTACGTTAAGAAATTTTTTTTTTTTTAAAAAAATAAATTTTTGAGTGTTTTTTTTTAATTTTTGGCGCCATATTTTTAACGGTCAATAACTGGAAAACGGTAATGGTAAAAATCAAACTGAAAACGGTACATTATCGACCTATACACTTTTTATTTTTTAAATTCAAAAGTTGAGGGGGGGGGCTGTCGTTAAGTTGGTCCCCTATTTTGTTCTTTGATTTGAATATCTTAGAAACCGAACTGATAACGGTACAAATCAGTCCAACTGATAAACTATTAAAAATCCAAAAGTGAGGGGGGGCCAACTTCACGGACCTTATAAAATCTCCAATTTACACTTTATATACAAAAAAATAATATAATAAAACTTAACCTCAAAAATTAAAAAAAAAAAACAACTTTGACTTAATTTTAATTTTTAAAAATTATAATTTACTTAAAAAAAAATTATCTAAGTAATTAAACTAAAAGAAATAATAATTGATAGGCAACTTCAAAAATATATTGCTATTTTTCGTCACAAATTATGAATTTACAACATAATAATTTCACCTTATCATTTAAACATGAATTACGTTTAATCTTTATTTTTTTTGTGTCCATATTTAATGACAAATATGTATTAAATAATATTTTACACCTTATTATTGTATATTTAAAAAAATAATATTAATAATAACTCGTTTCACTTCACTGTATGGGTATTGAATATGGAATGGATTATTTGATTATCTTCAAGGTGTGAATTCTTAAGTTTGTTTCTAGGTTCTCACAATGCTAAATAAAAGTAAACCCTTCCATAATAAAGTTTTATTTAATTGGGCATGGCCTTTTTACCCCTCCCCTTATTTCCCGTGAGCATTTAAGTAAGTGACTTTGCTTCTTGGCGGGCACAAGTAACTGTGGCCTGCCCAAAAAACGTGGATGGTCCTCTTAATTATTTTTCATCTTTTATTCCCAGTCTGATGGGTTTTCACGAGAAATCTAAGCGTTTACTCTGTTGTATATATAAATCTGCCATGTATATGACGCAATGATTAGGCGCTTAATAACGCGTAAAACGTATCACTCATCTCACCGTAATGAATATCTTTCATTGTTGCTGTTTTTGCTGATATTGATCGTCATATCTTATTTATTTTGGGCTATTAAGTTAAATAGTGGTAGGCCCATAGCATTAAAAAAAACTACTAATTTAAAAAAACTTCTAGACACATTCTTTATATAAACCTGTTTATATATATATATATAAAAAAAAAATTAAATATTGACCAATGAAATATAAAGTTGCCAAGAATATTAATGAGATAAGAGGTCAGAATATTTTTTTTTAGGAAATTTATGAAAAACATTTTTTTTTTGGAAAAGAATTTGGTTTTTATGACAGTTTTATAAAAAAAAATATTTTTTTAAATAAAAATATAGGTTATAAAAAATGATTAATTTATAAATTAGATTTCAAAATATACTTTAGTAAAAAATATGATAATTTATAAAGTTACCTTGATAAAATGTTTTGTTTGTTGGTTTACACTCTTACTATAATTGATAGTCGAAATTTTATAAACACAAATCCAGAGTTGTTAGAGGATCTAAATACAAGTAGATCCTGTATCTAGATATAAAAATGTGGTATTTATATCTAGATAGATTTTTTGATTAAAATATCTGTATCTAGATATTATTTTAGACAATGTATCTATTTTTTAACAACTCTGCACAAATCTAATCAATTTTTAAAAATTATTAAATAAGTAGAATTGTTTAAAAAAATATATTGATAAAAATATCTGGCAACTTTTTTTTTTAGTAGCATCTTTATTCAAATATATATATTACAATAAAAAAACTATAATTATAGAACTATATAATATAAAAAACGATACAAAAATACAATATAAAATTCAGAGTTGTTAAAGTATCTAGATCCAAGTATTTAGATATAAAAATGTAGTATCTGTATCTAGATAGATTTTTGATTAAAATATCTGTATCTAGATATTGCTTTAGACGATGTATCTGTATCTAGATCCATTTAAAAAGTATCTTTTAACAACTCTGCTAAAATTAAATGGGGGGGGGGGGGAGGAGGAGGAGGTATATACGATTATGAAAATCATAATTGAGTCCCTTAAAACGCGCGTTAATTATATTTGGTGACGGTATAATCCCAGATGATAAATTTACCCAGAGTCACCGGGGATAGTTGATAAAAGGTTTCGAGGTTTCCTAAAATATTAGGAATTTGTATATTTTTTTGTTAAAAGAGACTGAGTACTTATATTTTATTGACGATTGGGGCTGATGATGTTCCCGGCTCTTAAAATTTAACTCATGTCTTTCTTTATTTAACTGGTGAGTTATCATTATGGCAACTATGGAGGTTGGACTATATCACAGCCCGAATCTATGCCAAAGAGTAACTCTTAGTTTGTTATTTGTTAAGAGATTCCCTAGATTTTTTTTTTACTAGGCAAAGCTTCCAACAATTTATGTCGGCTTAATATATCATTATTTTGAAAGAGTTGGGTATCTCTCCAAGGATAAAAGATAGGATTTACTAAGGCTAAGAAGATATTTTTATAGAATTTATTGTATCGGGAAATAGTGTATCTGTTAACTCTTATTGATTCCGGTAAGCTCTCATGATATATATATTATAAAGAATAATAAAAATATAAACATTTTTAATTAATTAAAATCAACCTTAAATAAATATTAGATTACCAATTATTTTGATAACAACAACAACAAATTTCAAGGTGATATAAATTTGCTAAGAGGTTTTTTAGAATTGTTTTTAATAGTTACATATATTTTCAAGGTTATTATAATTTACTAAAATATTTTCAGCTCTTATAATCGTTTATGTTTACATATTAATTCTTATTAATCATTACTAATTTTATATAATATTCAAAATTGATAAATGAAAACACTTTTTGTAAATTTCTTTATCCATAATATATTATGATATAAAGGTATGTCCAAAATTTGAAGAAATAAAATTTGCAAATTTAGGAAACTTTTTATTGAAAATACTGAAATGTGACAATTTTTGTATCGAATTTCAAAACATGTCAAAATTTATTTTTGATTTTTATGAAAGTTTTGAATTTATCGATAAAATTTTCTTTATATAAAAAATAAATTTAATAATATTTTTTATAAATATATAAAAGCAAAATTCTATATGATATATTTCATTTAAAAAATTTTTTTGATTATTATCATCGCTAAATTGAAAAAAAATATATGCTAACTTCTTATTTAATTATATTCTTATTAGCAACATTATCTATTCCCAATGGTAAAATCGAAAAATTAACAATGTTTTGAAAAATATTAATATGTAGCTCACATTTCTACAAAGGGTATGGAATTTCTGGATTTCTGTTAGGAAAAAAAATTATGATGGATCTTGTAACTAACCCTAAATAATCTATAAGTCACCAAACAATTCCACTTTTCAAATCTCCATAAAAATCCCTTTTTAGCCTTTTAACAGATCTTTGTCATATGAACCCAATTATTTTTGCCCTTTTAAGAAAAATTATTTTTAATAGGTAAAAAAAAATTGTCTTTTAAGCCTAAAACCGTGTAAAAATGAATATTTTTCCTTTATTTTGTCCGCAATATCTTGGACAGCTTTCTCTAAATTTATGTACGCAGTTACAACTTCTAGGTGTCATAGAATTCTCTGAATTTCATGTACGTGAGAGTCCACAGAGTATCGGTATATCGATACTCCTTACACCTATAAATTTCAAAAAAAAAGTCTAAAAAGGCTTAATTGGGTCAAGTCTGAAAAACTGTGCCGGCATTTGGATCTAGATTTGATACGAATTATTTAACTCCATTGTCCTTTCCTGGGCATATGAGCGTTATTACAGCATCATCGGATGAGCTTGTTTCAATATACTTTGTAACCTTTATAGTTTTTTTTTAAAAATCTTTCGTTTACTCAACACTGCTCTCTCATTTGTCTAAATAAAAGCAGTTTTATTAAATGATGGTATTAATTAATCTATTAAATTATAAAAAGGAATAGTAGAAATGCAAAATCTAACTTATTTATGTTTATTACAAGATTGGTAGAACATAATGTTTAAAAAAAATATATCAATTTTTCCGATTGCACTGCCTGTGGTCTTTTTGCTTTCTTTCTTTCTTTCTTATTTTTTTTGCGTATTAACTAATTTGTGAACCACTATAAATTTGTTAAATTGTTTTTTTTAGTTTGTAAGAAGTAGAGAGACGTCTTTGTTTGATTGTGCTGATATTTTATACACCCCCGGCTCCAAAGAGTTTCATTTTTTAAACTAATTTGCGAAGCACCCTATATAAAATTGTTCGAGTGTTTATTTAGAGTTTTAGAAGAAAATTATATCATGTTAACCATTATGCCATCCACGAGTCATCCTATGAATTATACAGGTCCATGGCTAAAAAAGAAAAAAAAAACTAAACAAAATTCTCACTTATAAACACTGTTTTTTAGAAAAATCATCTAAATTTATATTTTATCGTAGGGAAAGCAAGAGCCGATCCTTGGATAAGAGATCCTAACTACGATCAAAACGAATACGTGAGAAATCATGGTAAAAGTTATATATAATTAAATTAATTTGTAAAAACTTTTTCTATTAGGATTCGAACGGTTCTGCACAAATTTATGTCCGAATCCCCGTTATCCAAGATGCGTTGAATGCCAAAAAACTTAAAGAAATAACGAAAAGATATTGAACAAATTTCTCATTATATCTTACACATTTTTATTTTCATTTTAAATGTAAATTTTGCTTTTTTTTAACCATATTATTTTTATATTAAAAAAAAATTTTAATTATTGCAATTCAATAAAATGGTAAACATTTTTGACAAAATGCAACTCATGTAATTTTCGAATATCTCGAGAAATAGGTGTGTTAGAGAAATAATTTAAATTTTATTGAGTAGCTTAATAATAGTTCTTTAATATGAAATAGACATCTGATTTAATGTCAAAAAACCGGACATATAAAACCGGAAATAGCTATAGAAAAATAAGGTATTACTTGTAAAAAAAAATTTTCTGTAGATAGATATCACGAGCTTTATATTTTTTACAAAATACTCCAATCGATTATTTTAGATTTTTAGAAATTATTATAAGTTATTGAATAATTGATCACTAGAGATAACTATATGGTTAACTCAATATTTTAGCCAGAAAAATATTGTCTATGCCTCGAGATCTTGTTAATATATGTCTAGACCTTTGTTCCTTCTACAAGAAAAATCATCAGGCTTGCATAGTATTCCTCTGGATAAAATATTGGATTTCGCCGTTTTTTAAAAATCGGACCAAAACGAGCCTTTTAACAACACTAACCATGACAAAGAAAAAGAACAAAAATTCGGCGATAATATTAAATAAATTTATTTGTAAAAAAAAAATTTTTTTGATTGAAAATTTGCGAAGAATTAAAATTAAAAACACAAATAATTTGCCTTTGAAAGATGTGATAATTTAAATGGGTGAATAAGAATAGAAACTAAGACGAATGTGCATTTATTGTTAGGAAATAGTCGATGTTTCATTTAAATTCTAGTTGAAGATTTACTTTTAACTTTTATTTCAAGGTGGCTGCGAGAGATAAAACAGCCTTCAAGGATCTGATACGTAAAATTTTAACAAGTTATGCTTAGTAGAGTTACGAGAAACATAAATTTATGTTATTTTAAAATTGACGATAAACATATAATCGATTTGTTGATGAACAAGGTGTCAATTTATGACAATCATCTTTTTAAGTGTTGATGAGACATAATTCTTCGGATAAAATAATGAGAATCATAACTGTGGGTGTTTTTTAAATTGTTGATAAACATAACTGATTTGTTTTTGTAACACAAGAATTATGAGAATCATAATTTTAGGTGTTGATGATTGACATAATAGATTTGTTTTTTTTTGCCAGGTCTGCGAGAGTTACGATGTTGGATTAAAAGGGATGATAAACTTAATTAAATTGTTTTATACAACGAAAGTAAAAAGAAAGGAAAAGACATTATTTAGTCCGGTTGTTTTTGAGCAATGGGTTGCTAACAGCATAAAGGAGAAAGATATTTTATTTTGCTTTAAGGAATAGGCGTGTACGAAGATTTATTAAGTAAAACGAGATAAATGCGTAATAACTCAAGAAGACAAAATGTGTTTTTTGGGTAAAAATTTAGAATTTAAAAGATTTTTAGATTCAAGATATTCGAGAGAATTTTAGATTTAAAATCAGCTGTAGACAGGGTTGACAAAAGGCGTGAATCGATAGCTAGACAACCTGCAAATAGTTCAAAGAAGATATGGGTCTAGGCTTCATTGAGGGTAAAGGGGTTGGTAGAATTTGATATAATTATATAAATTATTTAGCATATTTTGACTATATATTATAATGTTAAGATTTAATTTTAGAGGAAAAATGTGAGCGAATATTTCGAAATTAAGCTATTCAATAGATTATGTAAGGAAGAATTCAATTAGAGGCGATAACCTTATACATTTAAAGACAAAGTGGGCATATTATAAATTTTATTGGTATTTTGAACGGTGTATTATTTTAAATCTGAGATAAATGAAAGAAAAAGTGATAAAGGGTTAAATAGATTATTTTAGGTAGAAGTAGGTTAGATGCGATTATCTGAGACTTTATAAGACAAAGATCAAGTGAAGCATAAGGTTAAGACAAAGTCGATATATAGGCAAGTGCAATCTGTCGTAGAAGACCCGGTAGTCTAAAAGATCGATATGGTTACAAGAATTAGATGAAAAGAAGAACTAATCAATTACAGGAAAACATTGTAAACAAGCGACTTGATAGAACAAATGGTCAAGACGTTCATGCTGCAATCGTTAATCGCTTACAAATATTGCCAATTGTTCACCAAAACTTTAGTGTAAGATACGAAATTTGATAATCGTATTGAATTCGGGAAAACAATCTTATCGAAGACAAATTATAGTCAATCGTTTACCGAGATAATGTGCTAATCATTAGTTACGAGAGACCGTTAGAAACAAGCAAAGACTAGGATTATTGATCAAAAAGAATTTAAGACGGACTATAAGATACAAAAGTTGAAAAGGAAACTAGAATTCATCGATATCGTTTACAAAGCAATCATAATCAATTACCAGTTTATAATCAATTACCGCGATAAAGAATTATTGGATACAAGAGAACGTTAGAAAACAAGCTAAGACTTGAATAAAGTTATAAAGATGTTTTAAAACGGGCTTTAGAAGAGACAAAGATTGTGAAGAAAGTATGGTATCAATCAATAATTGGTAACTAGCAGAGGTGGATCGTTGAAAGGCAGGCGTCAATCGGGTGTCGATTAAAAGGAAAAAGAGATAATCGTTTACCCAGGGGCTGACACGCACCAGAAGATAGAGTTCAAAAATTTAGAGGTATAATCGGATACAACCGGTCGTTAGAAACTAAGAATACTAGACAAGGGATAGCCGTCTTCGATATTAGAAGACAATAAAGAATAGAAGAATGGATTTGGTGGAGATAAAAGATCAGTGAAGGCGAAACAATAGAAAGTTGGTCATTCGCAGAATGTTGGGCCTAACTTAAGAGGGAGAGTGTTATTATGTTCAGTTATTATTATTCAAATTGTGATAATATTCAAGCAAAGATAATGTTTTATCTAAAATTTATTTAAGTCTTAGAATAAGATGTTAGATTTTTCATACTTTAAGGGTTTTAACAATTGGAGAGTTATTCACTTTTTACATTTTCGTTCATAAATTTCTTAATTTTTAATTCTTTAATCTTTTTTTTTTTTAACATTTCATTTTTTAACTTTAATTTTTTTATGTTTTCACCAATGACGTATAATAATACCTCAGACTGACGCCGCCAATCATAATAATGCACTAGAAAGCGTGGTTGAAATGTAAATCAGCTGGACCCGCCATTTCGGTAACCCATATAGCAATTATTCTCATATTAAAAACTACAATTTACAAATTAACTTGCTTCCTTAATCATCTAGAATGATCAGGCCACTCTTTAATAATGTTCGCTAAATTAGCCTCTCGTTTAAAATCTTTTTATAAATAACGATTATGGGGGTAACCAAAATGGTGTCCCCAGCTGTTTTTTTCTTGATGTACACTTTTAACGAATGCGCCGTCAGTCAAGGTATAATATGTCATTGGTTTTCGCTGTATTATTATTATTAAATTATTTATAATTATGGCAATAAAGTTATGGTTATATACATATTTAATTATTTTATTTTAATTTTTCTTTAAGGGATATTCCATTTTTTTTTTCAACTATAGGAATTCGTCAAATAATATATTAATCCTTTCTTTTTAATTATGAAGATATGGGAGAATATCTATTGTTGAATTTTAATTTTGGTAGATTATTTTGTACTAAATATAAAATATTTAAAATAGTTGTCAAGCATTTAGATATAATTTTTAAATAAACATCATTTCATAACTATTCATTAAATTTAAATATGATGATATTTATGTTAAATTTGATCAATTTAAGTCATACAAGTAGCAGAGTTGTTAAAGAATCTAGATACAAGTATCTAAATCCTGTATCTAGATATAAAGATGTGGTATCTGTATCTGTATCTAGATAGATTTTTGATTAAAATATCTGTATCTAGATATTATTTTAGACGATGTATCTGTAGATCCATTTAAAAAGTATCTTTTAACAACTCTGACAAGTAGTATAACTCCTCAAAATATGCTAACCCCAGTCTAGGATTTTGTAAAAAATAACAAAACTGTGTGATACCTAACTACAGAAATTTTTTTAAAAAAAATACCTTTTTTTTCTATGGCCATTTCCCGTTTTATATATCCGGTTTTGGACATTAAATCAGATTTTCTATTATATTTATTTTTATGTCATATTAAAGAACTATTGTTAAGCTACATAATAAAATTTAAATTATTTCTCTGACATAGTTATTTCTCGAGATATTTGAAAATTAAATGAGGTGCATTTCGTCAAAAATGTATGATTTTTTCCGCGTTTTAAACGCTCATATATTAACGGGTAAACAGTGTTGGAAGGTAAAATTTCATTTTTTTAGTTATAGTAGTATGCAAAATTTAAGAAAAAATTGAAAGATTGATTTGATATGGTATGCCATATGTATCGAGGAAAAGCAAATAAAACTAGGATGTATATATGAGTAAAGAGGGCTAAACAGATTTTCTAAGAAATGTGCTGGAATATATACTCATACAGACCTTTAAAAAAAAATTGAATTTAAAATATAAATCGTAAATACTTGAAAATAGTTTTTTTTTTTAAAAAAAAAAATATTTTAGCAATTAATTTTTATCTTATCGATAGTAATATGATATCTGTATCTTTGCCATATGAGAATATCTTTTTTACGAGAATAGCTTATTAGAATTTAATGAAGCAATTTAGACAGAAGAAATAAAAATACTTTTCACAGCCTGTCAACTTAATTCTTAAGTTGCCACTCTCAAAGTCTCTTTAAAGGATTTTGGATTGGATGTGGAAGGCCTAAATCCTTCAGATGCAATAACGTGAAATTTTATAACCCTCGTATTTAGATTGGAAACATAAGCATCTAATCAAGAGGTAGGTATTGGGGGCAGTACTAGTATAAAAATATAGTAATGGACATGAATTTGTCAATAGCGAATTAAGAACATTACAAGGCGCCTAAAAGAATTATTTTTACACTAGAAAAGAAGCACATTCTATAAAAATTTCATATACGCTATAACTGTACGAACGACAGTACGAACTTTGATTAATATTTTTTGACTAAAATATTGCGTTATAGCCTTAAAGATCAAGACGCTTAACAAAACGTTGACAGATTATTAACAGCTAATAAATTGCTTATATGGAAATAAAAGTTTTTAAATAGATTAAATTATCGTATTTTATGATGGGATTGATTACATAATCAATATATTAATCTCAGCTCCATTGTAGCATTAGACAAAAAAAATGTTTCAAATAATTTCTCCTATCTTAGATAATGCTTCTTCTAATAATATATTTTTGAAGATATTATTTTTTTTCAGCATCAGACTCAAAATACATATGTTTTAAACAGAGTTGTTAAACGCTACTATTAAAAGTAGCGCGCTACCGCTATCGCTATTTGCTAAAAAAAGTAAAAATAATTCCAAAAAAATGCCTCATTATAATTCACCATGATAAGAAAAAATATTTCCCAAATCATTTGTTCATGATATCAAGGACAACTTTTAATAAAGGTGGAATGGCAATATTAAAAACTTGAATTTTCAAGTTTAGTGTGTCTTACCTACAAATAGTATCGGCACTAATTCTCTATAAAAAAAATTAACTTTTCTGCCTTTGTAATTTGTTTAATACAATCTCTAACTGACTTCTAACTTTGCAGTATAATTTTCAGTATAAATGTAATATGTATTACTTTTAAAAGATGGACCATAAATATTTTTTATCAAATAACAATGTTAAATAAATCTGATTTATATTTAAGATAAAGAAATGAAATAATACTGATTGTAAAGGCTATTCCACCCGGCTTTCCATAGAATGTTCAAGACTGATTTCTGAAGATTCGAGCCTTTAATATGCACTCCACTGTGTTGTACATTTTTCCAGGAAATCCTTCCAAAGTCTTTGAGTTTGATATTACAGAAAGACCATCTTTAGTTAGCACACAAAACGCCCGATATGCCTGAATAAGTGTATTTCGTTTATTTTCATTTATAAATAAATATTAAAAAATTGAAAAAAAAAAATACTCTACTAACCATCAATAATAATAACTTAATTCAAATAGGTCATTCTCATAATCATTGGTAAGTGTTTTTATAATTTTTACACCATATTCTTATTTGTCGAAATAATTGGAAGCGTTATCTGTAACCATGACAACTAGTTTATCCGAAATCCCTAACTACCAAATAGCTCTCCTATTTCGTCATAAGAATGTATTCCAGAGACATTTTCCTACACGACAAAGGTCCTGATTGTCTTTCCAGGGTTTCTCATGTAATCTTTTAAAATATTTTGATAAATAACATAGTATTCAGTGAGATGTTTAAGGCTACATACTTTTTTAGGCCACAAATCTACCGTGGCACAGATATATGATTGTCCTTCCTTATAAATAGCTTTTAGGGTTTTCATTTGATTTTCGTTGCCATGAAAATATTTTAAGGGATCAAACATTACTAACAATATCTTAAAAAAAATAATATTAACAAACATTTACTTATATAAATAACATATTCATCATCTCTAACAAATTCGAGATTTAATATGCAGAATGTATGCTTTACTTATTTTCTTCTATCGGTGTTGTTATTCATCTATTCTTAGTGTAGATTATAAACAAGTTGATTTTCGTAGCGCAAATTTTACCATCTAAAAATATGATGAGAGAATAATAATAAAAACTAATAGAGTCTACTTAAAAAAATAATGGTAGGGAGAAGTGGCATAAATGGCCATGGATGATTAGGGTCACGCCATTTAACTCTTGCTCGATTGAACCATCTTCTCTCAAGTCAAAATGTGTATATTTTTTTTTGAATCCAACAAAAAAAAATAATTTTTAGTATCTCAAGAAAAATTATGTTATACATTTGTTGTTTGTTCGATGAAAGATTATACATATCTATATTACTGATATTTTATATAAATATTATCCTTATATTTAAATTTAGCAACAAATGAATTTGATGATAAATTGATAGTTGATCTGGCGTTCGTAATGACTGGCCAATATTCATACATTCATGAAATGGAAAGCACCGGCACAATGTAAAGTACCTATCACGTGAATTTCAAACGATATCCTCATTAATTTTTTTGAATGTTTCTATATTGAAAAGGTCCCACGGCCGGAAGTAGTATTAAATTTGGATTACAAACTGAAATGCATTTCAGATTTTAAAAATATATCAATGGCTCTCAAGTGAAAGATTTAAAATTTACGATTAGAAAATCCCAATGGATTCCATATCCCGCTAATTACGACTCTTAAGTATTAAATCATGGGAAGAAATTAAAATATTAGACCTTTTAAGACCAGTAAGAATCGATATTTTACGGTCTAGGACCGTCCGCCGTCCAGTTAAAATTTTTTTTAGATTAAGACCCGGTCCGTGGTCTGTTATGGCCCCTCGGTCTGCAATAATTAAAGAAAAAGAGCTTATAGTTTAAAAGAAATTTCAAACAATATTAATTTTATTCTCTATTTTTTATGTTTTGTCATGCATTAAATTTAATGTTAATAAAAAAATCATCATTTATACACCATATATAAACGTGGTATTGATAATTTAAAAATTTTAAATTTGTTTTTAAATTTTCAATGAGTTATATATATGATGAGAAATAATTTTTTTTTAAAAGCCAAATTTGATATCTCTTCTAAATAGGTCGTTCAGAATTACTTTTTTTTAATTAAAATCAACTTAAAAGATTTTTTTTTTCAATGATAATATAGGTAGGACAAAAAAAATTATCATTTTACAAATTTATTTGGAAAACATTAGTTTATATAAAAATTTTTAAAATAATTACCGCCTGGAAATGGAAGAAAGGTAGAGTTGACAATAAGAATATTATATAATAAAAAAGCTAGCATTTTTTTAAAAAAAATATTTATACGCGATAATGTTCTAACTTATATAGGGCTTGAATAAAGTTGTTTTTTTGTTTTTTTTAACAAATTATCAAAAATGAATATATTTAAGTTGTCGAATTTCAATCTATAAATAGGCTATCAAAATAATTAATTATTATTTTGAAAAATTTAATAGTCATTGTTTTTAATCTAATATTAAAATAATTTAAAATAACTCGGACATACAAATTTTTATCAAAACATAATTTTTAAAAAAAATGTAAGTTGAAGGACAAATCTAGTCTAAGATATTTTTCAAAATTATCATTACGTTTCAAAAAATTATATTTAAATACATCTTTTTGCCAAAATTTGACAAAAGTTAAGTTATGCCTCTCTACCAAAACCCCCATAATATAATATGTTATGATTTAACTTTTAACATTAGAGCCTTGTATGATAATATTATTTTAGGGTTTCCAGGGAATTTAAATGTAACTTTTATAAGGAAACTTAGCTGTAATAAACAAAAAAAACCCACCAATTATTTTCATTTACAAAAATTATCATTTTTGAAGCGCAGTATAAGTGTTTTAGATGTTGCACCGAGAGTGAGAATTCATTCTCTTGGATTAGGTTACCGTTATGGGCCGCCAAATATAAGAGAGGATAAGGATCATTTAGAAAAATGGTTTAATATACAATCTAATCTGGAAATTTGAATGGGGATTCAAATTCTAAAGAGATTTTTCAGCTATAGGGAATTGTGATTTTGGATGATATATTTTCGGGAATCAGTTTAACTGTCGAAAAAACAGTTCCGAATACAAGTGTTTTAAACTGTTTTCCCTTAGAAACTGTAACACTGACATCGTTTATTCGAAATCGAATTTCTTAAAATGTATATTAATCAAGATGTTAGGTTTATTTTACATGAGATTATTTTATAAAATATTTATTTAGTTTCTTCTTTTTTATAGTCCTTTTTACGCTGAATTCATAGTAAACGAGTTATGTTAAAGCGTTGCGTTAATTTAACGCTATTGAAATGACAGCTGATTTTTTTTATAGTTATTATTTGATGAGAGAGATATATATTTTTATCTAATAGTTATTATTTTTATAATCGTTTTGGTGGCCCATAACCCTAACCTTGTTCAAGAGATTAGATTCTCAGTGTAACATCTAAGACTCTTACTGCACTTAAAAGATGATAATTTTAGTAACATTAAAGAATGAAATTAAATAGGAGCTTTTTTCCCCTTATTTTCCATTTATTAGCTAAATCTGGCTTGTAAAAGTTAATTTTACACTTCTAAAACCTAAAATATTATTATATTTCAAGACCACTGTCAAAAGTTAAATCACAAGCTATTAAAATATGTGAGATGATATACTCCACACATAATTTTACTAATTTTGATAAGCTTCCCTTTAGTTATTAATAAATTTTTATCAACTTTTTGGCAAAAAATATTTATTTAAATATAAAAAAAAAATTATTATTGGTACCTATGATAATTTTAAAAAAATATCGCAAACTAACCTTGGACTTCACTAGATAATACATTATTTAAAAAATTTTTCGATTTTCCGAGTTATTTATAATTTAAGATTTAAAAACAAACAACTATAAAATTATTCAAATGTAACAATTAAATAAGTAAAATCTATTTTTAGTTTTTAATTTATACAGGATCTAGATATAAAAATGTGGTATCTGTATTTAGATAGATTTTTTATTAAAATATCTGTATCTAGATATTTTTTTAGACGATGCATCTGTATCTAGATCTATTTAAAAAGTATCACTCTGTTAATTATCATTTATTTTAAAAATTTGTAAAAAAAAATTATTCATCTCTATATAAAACTCTATCTTGTTCTTCCATTTCCAGCGGCCATTATTAAAAAATTTTGTAAACTAAATGTATTATAAATGGAACATATAAACATCTCTCAGTGTTCGTCTTTTTTAACGCTGTTTTAAAACGTTTATATTATTAAATGAATAGCCCTTTAGTGGTATCCTTGGGTCCTTTCACATTTTTTTACATTTAGGCTTTAATAATGTTAAATATTAACAATTCATTGTATAAAATTATGAATCTTAATATAAATATAATATCGTGAAAAGCGAATTACAATTTAAAATAAAAAAATTGATTAGATTGGAAAGATTATGCGAAGCCCATAGAATCGATATTGATAACGGCATTTTATAAAAAATAAAACAAATTGTCAAATTTTTTATATTTTAACTTAAATAAATTAAATGCTATATTCTGTTAACCTCGATCTTTCATCTTCTCTAATGCTCGATAGAACTCTACGTGGCCCTAACAACAAACCGTTTACACTCCAATGTGAGTTGGCATTTATAACATTTGTTTAGATGCATGATTATATATATTTTTTTTATACATAATATTTACGTTTTTTTAAAAAAAATAATGTTTCCATAACTTCTGCAGCTAATAATCATTTTGCTACTTCTTTACTGATGTAACAGTTCCACATTTAGTGTCAAATAATTCTAATGGGGCATTTTTATCTTATATAAAATAATCAAGAATGTATTAAAATATGAAAAAAAGGATTCAATCTTATTGTATAAATCTTACTTTTTAAAAGAAGTCCAGGAATACTTATCGCAATTAAATTGCATTTTGGTAAGTGGCAATTCATATCATATAATAAAACTTATTATAAATTATAATATAATTTTCTGTATATTACGAATTTGATGGATTTCTAAGGAATTGACCAATTAAATAGTTGAAGATGAAATACACAAAGAAAAAAAAATATTAGATCTTTCCATTCCAAAAACTCCATTTCCTAGAATGTCTGAAAAGCTAAAATTCATACATATATATGCTTCCTATATTAAATTTTAACCCAAATTTGGGAATTAATTGATCTACCCCACATGACCAATTAAAGATCTGAAGATTAAATTGCTAAAATTATTTGAATTTCTACAAGAATGAATCACACAAATTGCTATTGTGTTGCAACAAAAATTCTTTCTTACAATTTTTTTAAAGCTCGTTTTTTTTTTGAATTTAAAAAAAAACAAACTGATTTTTACCGGAAATGTGATTCCAGCATGTTCAAAATACCTAATATGTTCGTATAATAAAAAATATGAAAGTAAAATGATTTACATACTTTTCTTATATTACGAATTTATTTATTCGGGATTACGCGAGAATAGCAAAATTTAGAGATTTAAAAGTGCACATTTAATTGTTATTCATCATATAAAAAAAATATTAATTATTTATTTACAACAGGGATACAATAATAAAACCTCTGGCTTTTTTCTTCCGGTGCCAAATGGCACATGGAATATTTACTAGAAATTTATCAGGGTCATAATTTTTCTGCACGAATTTTCTTGCTATCATTCCCCCCCCCCTTCCACGCTTACTCGCACGAAACATTTAATAAATCATTGTGTACGATATAACCAGTATTTGTTTTTGACATCATATCATTATTTAACTTGTTTAATTTCTTTGCTAATTTATTGTAACACTATTTATAGATAAATACAAAGAGATTATAACATTCAACTTATTTTCAGATATTAAAAATAACTAATATTAGCTTTTGAAAATTTAAAAAATTATATATAAAAATTGTTAAGTGTCCCGAGATGGCCTATTAAAAATTTTACGGAAAATCTTCCAACTTCGCTAATTGTCAGGCCTCAGCCTTAAGTTTTCAGTTCAGATCTATAATTTCTACCCATTTTACTATTTAAAAATGCTTGTTTTTTTTTTATTTTTCTAACATTAATTTATATATATAAACCAAGATGTAACAAATTTTGGAGACCTGCATTATTATCCTTCAACTCTTTAGAAGAATTTTTGTCAGAATCACCCCAGGAAAAGGATATCAAATACAAAGCCGGAAACAGAGTGACTCTATTAAATTCAAATCCAAATGTTAAAAAAAAAACAAAAAAAATAAATAATAACAATAATAATTAGTATATGATAAGTAATTAATAACTACAAATAACAAACTTAGGTATTTTAAAAATATGAAATATGATAACACAAGAACCATTTTTTAATATATATAATATAATGAGAAACAAAAGTTTACCACTTGAAGAAGTAAAAGTTATCCCTCAACCTATTTAATAACATTATGCGACAATTACATGTTATATAGAAGTATATGATATGGCTTGTTATCGTATCTTATTGATTAATGAGATAGTAATATAACATATTTTATATTTCAACACTCCTTTATAAAATATAATTACAATAGATACTTTAACAGTATATAAATGCCAGAAATCTACTAATTCAAAAAAATTTTTTTTTAAAAAAACTAAAAAAAATGATGTCAAAACTGGCGAATCTGATAGTAGCAATGATGGTAAAATTAATTTTATAATTATATTAAAAAACCCAAATAATTTTTTTTTCTTCTATAATTCTTTTACAACAATATTTATTTTATATAATAGTTAGTTATCTGTCTTAGCAGTTTGATGGTAGACTCGTTTCCTTACTTCAGGCCGCCACCGTTTTATGGAGGATACCCAGGTTTTGGTAACCGATTCTTCGGCCACGGAGGCTGGGGCCCACCCGGATATGGCGGTTGGGGCGGGTTCGGATACGGTGGTTGGAATCCATTTTTTGGCGGAGGTGTTCCATTCTATGGATAACCGGAAGAGAAATTATATACTTGTATAAATGAAAATATGTATTATTCCTCGCAAAATTTTTTTAAAATTATTCTATATATTTTCTGCGAAATTTCAATCTACATATTTTCTGCGAAATTAGTGATTTATATATACATATTCCTGATAAATTTCTAATTATTCTACATATTTTCTGCGAAATTAGTGATATTGTATGTATATATTATTTCTGCGAAATTTTAGTAATTGTTTAATAGTATAAAAAATAAAATGAATCATTTTCATAAATTTTGTGTCAAATAAAATATGATTTACAAATTTTAGATAAACTATATATATTAAAGACATTATTCCCTGAAAATAATTTTATTTTTCCCTGTGGATCTTTCTTTCATGATTTAAAGTGGCAAAGTTTGTGTTTAATTTATCGGTTATTATACCGTGTATAGTAAATTTTACGTATACTGATATAGGTTTTTCCAAATTTTTTTTATAAAACTGTTCTAATAAGATTTAAATAGAAGAGAAAGTCCAGAATTTGATAAGGAAAACTTTTACATAGATATGTTTTTATAAAAGGAGAAAAATAATAACATATTTGAGAATTTAAAAAAAAACAATTACCAACTCAGGCTTGAAGCTGTATAACTATAAACTAGAAATAATTTGGTCAATTAATTTCGCTAACTAAAACAAGTTAAATGTAAAGTTAAAATATATCACGCCTTAAGGGGTGAAGTAGATCAAAGTTCTGAAACTTGTATCAATAATTAGGGCGTATTTAGTAGGTAGTAAGGTATACATTTTAAATGATTCGAAATTTTTTTTGATACTTTTAAGGAAAACGTTATTATTATTGACAAAAAAAATAAGTTTAAGCAAGATTTGACATTCATAACAGTAGAAAGGAAAAAAAAATCATAGAAACTTTTTCAGTTCGATAAACAGAAACCAATTTATTTATCTAAGATAAGCAATATATCGACATGCATGAGGGCTGAGAATATAGGATTCTAAATTACGATTCAAGAGTCAATCGCGTTTAAATATAACATCAAAATTGACTTCCGGAACGAATTCGAATCTTACGAATTCTGCCATCTTTTTATATAATCTATCTAAATTTTCTCTTCTTTTTCTTCATACTTGTCCCTAAAAGCAGGAATTCTAAAGCACAGGCTCTTATGCAATGCTGAAAATAGTGTGCATTTTTTAAAAATAAAGTTTAATATTTCCATTCGTTTGGTCAAGGGTATAATAAATTTTAAAACAAAAGGTTAATAGCAAAATGATAATATATTTCTATAAAATTAGTTGTTATATCTCGATTTAATCAAAGCGCTAAGTTAGAGCCGATTGTTAATTCCTTAACTAACTGACACTTTTACACTCTCCGGAAATAGAAAAAGGGTGGAACATCAATCCCATAGAATTTATTTCCGGTTTATCAAATTTTTTTTTTTTTAGATAAATTTAATATTATAATTTGATTTAAATGATGGGATCCATTTCAAGTCCTTTTTTTTAAAAAAAAAATTAGAAAGAAGATTATTTCTGAAATGATTTTTTTAATATAAAATTTAAGATGGTGGTTGTTATTATCGATTTTTAAAGAAATGAAAACCAAGTTTTCATTTAACATCCGCCCACCCTTCCCTCTCTCTTAAATGACATTTATTACTGTCACCTGTCTCTCAAAATTACTAAATTTTATTTGGGTTGGAAGGGGTAATCTTTATTATAAACTCATGCCATTCCCTCTTAAAGTAAACTTTTTTTTTAAAAAAAAGAGCGATTTTATTTTATATTAATCAATCAAACCACCATTTTTAAAAAATAATGATTTTAATCAAAAATGATTTTAAATCAATTTTTGTTTTGTAAAACTACATACGATTAACCTTCAAAAAAAAAGTTGATGTATAATTGTTATTGTTGGGGCAAGTATGATCCAAAAAACAAATACTCCTTGAGGAAAATTTGTTATAATAAATTATTTTTGAATTCAAAAAGTTTGTTTTATTTAGCGATAAAATATAAAGTTAAAAAAAATGAATATAACTTTTTGGGTGATTCTTATTTGCGCAAATGTCCTATCATTTTTACCGGAAGTAGAAACTCAAGATGTCGACAGAAGTAAAATATCTTGAATAAGAAAAATATTTAAATGTCTTTTGCATCACAAAAGGATCAAGATATTTTTATTTTAATTATTATAAAGAGCTCGCTTATCAATGTAACCATAAAAAAAATGCTTAAACAAGATAAAATGCTGATGTTGAAAGTGCTAACAGGTAGAGAAAAGAAAAAAAATACCCCAGTTAAAAAAAAAAATAACCAACGTGGTTTCTTATTTTCGTAAAAATTATTTGCTTATATTGATAAAATAAAATATCCATCCACCAATTACCACATGTTTGGTAGTCTAAAATTTGACTAAATTTTTTTGTAATAAGATATATTTATTTTATTATTGGTAAAATCATCATTAATGTAAAAATACAAAATTTAAATTTAGAGAATAATAAATTGAAATGGGTTGATAAAAGTATAGCCATCGTTCAAGTTTAGTTTTATTGGTAGCCGCCTCGCGTTTCATTTTTTCTAAAAAATCAATACCCAGATTGATGGGTGTTTCTTCGTCGGATAGAGAGCTCTGATTCGGCGTTTCAAGTTTGTTTCCGGAGGAAATCGAGGGCTCAATGTCATCGCATTGGCCATATCACATAAGGGAACATATGCTAAGACGTCCATAACTAGGCCTTCCAAATTCTCGAGATTTGAAGGGTTGTGCTTTGCCTTATGATTTCGTAGAGTTCTTACTATTGACTCTTCCGATGACATGTGCTAAGTCAAATTACTAATGTAATTTTTTTAAATACCAAGAAATTATAGAAGCATCCCAATTCTCCACTACTCTTCGATCTTCAATTTGAAAAAGATCTCATGGAAGAAATCCTACGTTATATGACAGAATTCAAAAAAGTGTCATCAATAAGAGTCAAATTTGATTTAAAAAAAAATATATTATTTTTATTTTGAAATTTTTAATGGGGGAAGGGTTTCCGCCGGGTTTTTCGGCGGTTTTTTTTCGGTTTTTCGGCGGTTTTTTTTCGGTTTTTTGCGGGTTTTTTAGGGTGTCTGGGGGTTTTTTTCCTATTACCTTTAATATATTAGTCTAATAAGCACACGAAAAATTAATTTTATATGTACCCCCTCATTTTTCGTTTTCTTGGGACAGTGTATGGTCCAAAGGCAATTTTTAATCAATAGAGAGGTAGTATTTTAATTAGTTTGTGATTCAACAATATGTTTTATTCGTTCAGGTCTGTTTAATAGTTCTATGGAATTTATTCAGGTTTGAACAAAAAAAAAACTTTCTGATCTTGCCTCAGTAATTCCTATACGCTTAAATTGAATACTTGACCCTTAAACGCCTCAGATTCCTACACCTCCCCCCCAATTCCATCACATTTCCTAAAGGCAAATAGCTCAAACTTACCCATTGAGCGTTATGTGGTTCTTTTTAGTGCACGAAACCTTGGCATGGCAAATCATTCGCCTTTATGTTTGTCAAAAAATACCCTCTACAGCCCTTATTACCCATGTCTCACTATCATATTAGCAAATAATTTAGTAACTTCCATAAAGAAACAATCAGATTCTGGCTTCAAGTTAGTGGAATTGGGCTTTGGGCACTCCTTGCCCAATTGAGAAAAGTTGAAACATTTTACCGACAACTCCTAGTTTCACTACTCCTTCAGAAAAGAAAAATGATCTATTTTGGGGATTAATATTCATTCTTACTACACCAGAAATCGATTCAAGATCTCGGCACCAAAGAAAATTAAATTAAAAAAAAAATAAAAGAAGATTAATATTGAATACGAATCAGAACAAGACTCTGACAGTAGGAAACGAAACATTAGTTATTGAGGGACAATGAATCTTTAAATTGTCTATGCTAGAAACTGATTTTGTAACCCTTCATTGAGTTAGAGTTACTATACAAGTAACTAATAATTAATATTATTATTACTATTTTCTTCTTCCCAAAACATTTTACATAGGTGCGGCAAGAGTAGGTGTTGCGCGATGCCCTGTTATTCGTTGTCCGTTTAGATGTTCGATTAGGATCGATGCACGAGGATGTCGCGTTTGCCGATGCGGTAAGTTCCGGAAAGATGAAATGATATTTCCGGCATTTTTTTCAAAAAAAATAAATAAAACAAATAAATAACAATTTCGAGTTCGGTTTCTAAAATTAATGTCAACATTATTATTTTTTTTTTATAAAAAAAAAAGTTGTTTAAGGGGGAAGAGATGGACTTTATCTGAGCTGTAAACTCGGTAAAGATATTAAGCGGGTTCGGTTCGGAGTAATATTTTCGAACCCGGTTTTGTTTCGGGTTTAGCCTAATATTTTCGAACCCGGTTTTGTTTCGGGTTTAGCCTAATATTTTCGAACCCGGTTTTGTTTCGGGTTTAGCCTCGGGCTTAGGAATATTTCCTAAGCGTACATCAATTTTAACATTTTTTTATTTAGACGTATTTTACATAAATAATTATGAACATCCATTTAAAAACGAATACGTTTGATGAGGGCTTATAAAAAAAGCCATGTATAATAACATGTTTGATAAAGGGTACTAATAGCCAAATTTAATAGTAATAATACTTTTGATAAAGATTAATAATAAAAACCAAAATGTTATAAATGCGTGTTTATTCATAACCGGGAAATATCCGCCCACAAATTCTGCACGTAACGAATGTAAAAAAAAAATTGGTAATTTTTGCAGGATTTTGCAAATCAAAGAATTCAAATTTATGTAAGAGTGTCATCAAAGTGATTCAATTCATAATATATGGAAGATTCTACAAAATGGACAGAATCGAGAAAAACTGAGACTGCAGAGATTAAAGGGATAAGTGGTTGTATTTGATTTTGACACTGGTGCACAGGCGTCATTGATGGGAATTATGGTATGGACAAGTATTGGACGCCTAAAAATTAGGCTAGACCCCATATAGTGACCATCCTTTATAAGCTAAGAGCAAGACCCAAGTTAACTTTAAGATTGAATGATTGAATCAAGGATAAGGACCCTACCAGTGATAATTTAACACTAATGAGGTACCTCTTTTTGGATTACCTGTTAAATAAATATCTTTTTGACAAATAAGGAATTCGCATATGCTTCAGCTATCA